ATACATACATACATATACGTATACGTATATGTATATATGTATATATATATATATTCTTAAACAGGTGATATGCAGGCCTGTTTGTGAAACACTATGCTATAAGAGTCTAGCTGAAAAGTTAGGCTTCTTCTGTAAGGATGCCAAATTAGCAACGATTCAAGAGCTGCCAGGTATTAGCTTATTATGCTCTCTTTTAATTACACCTGGTGACATTCACTGATATGACTATTGGTGACTCAGAGGTTCATTAGTCAGAAGAATCATCTAAAATGTTTAAATGCCTTTTTTTTTTTGGTGCTTTGTGGCAGTGTTTCCCTTTGTAGTTCAGGCTGGCCCCAAACTCACTATGTAGCCCAGTGATCCTCCTGCCTCAGCCTACCAAGTGCTGGGATACAGGCATGTGCCACCATGCCCAGCTTGTTTAAATGCATTTCTGATAACAAATCATAATGTAGGAAGTTGCTGGATCATACCTGTAAGTACAAATCTTACAGGTAAATCACAAGGAAAGTCAATTTCAAAGGGCTCAGAAGTGTGGCACCACAACTGGTAAAAATCTTTATGACCTGAAAACAGAAACAAACTACATCTTATTATGAGTTGTATTAAACTTATACATTAAGATAATACCAACCTATTAGGCTTTATTGCTCACTGACTGGACAAGGTAGTAAATATGCAATGCTTAGCACACATCACTATACCTGGTAAAAACTCACTCACTGGGGAAAAAAATACAAACTCACTCACTGACTCCTATGTGTACATTATCATAAAAAGAATTAGTAAAACACTTTGGGCCACACTTTCAGTTAGTAAAACACTTTGGGACAACTTTTCAAGAGCACATTTATCTAACAAATCCTTGAATTTCTTTTTCTTTTTTTTTTAGTACCAGGGATCAAACTTGGGACCCTGCCATTGCGAGGCAGGCGGTGGAACAACAGAGCTAAATCCTCGGCCCCCTTGCATTTATTTCTATTCCCGGTAGTCAAACGAGTCTCAATTAGTGATCAAGTATCCAGTTCACAGATGTATCCTGTCTCCAAACTCATTTTTACATTTTCCAGTACAACTGCTACTTCCCTCCCTTTAGTCTAGTCAGACTGTGAGTCTGTCCTCGTGCACGCGGAAGACGTTACTTCCTGTGAGGCCTGGCTGCCTCAGTGCCAGGAGCTCTGTTTTACACACAGAAGGCACCCATCCAGCCTGCTCAGCGATGGTCAGGGCTGGTCAGTTTGGACTACCTAGCTTGTTTTTCAGCTTATAAATGTAATTTAGGTGCAAAGTCTGGCTTCTGAAGCCTACTCCTTCCAAATGGTTTATAAAAAGCAAAACTAAGGTTTTATTCTAAAACACATTATATTTTCACAGTAACTTTTCCCAGTGTTTCCAAAATTCTACTTTTTAACCATATTTTTTAATCCTCAGGAAATGCACAGATCATGGGCTTTTGTGAGACTCCTCATGTAAGAACTGACATTTTGAAGCACTCCTTCGAGGTAAGTCACAAGCTTTTGGAAGCGGACCCATGACTGAAACACCCCTTTTTAAACTCCTTCAAGTATTTCTTTTGGGTTCCTGAGTACGGGGTCCACGGTAGGGAGGACAGACTCAAGATGTGCAATGGTGAAATAATGTGCACTCGCAGAAAAGTGGCCACGGCCAGAAGGTACGCCAAGGAGGGAAGGCAGCAGCTCAGCCTGGGCTTGGGCAGTGGTGGACAAGACGCGCACTTAGAAAACAAACCTTCCAGCCACGGTAAGCACTCAAGGTGCCCCAAAGCATCCACTTACAGCCATGATGCTTCTTATTACGGAAGCAACCTCGACAGAAACGTGCCCAGAAAGGCATCCCGACCCCACACACTAAACACCATTCCATTTACTCTAACCACCTCTCTGGGGGCCGCAGGACACTGATCCTATTCACATGAAGGAGTCCCCTGCTTCAATACCCACTCACTCGCATTCCAAAACCTGTTGCTCTGCTAGTCTTCCAGATTGCAATGAAAGGCACTGCCAGAGCAGAGTGTGGTGGCGCACGCCTGTAATCCCAGCACTCAGAAAGCTAAGGCAGGGGGATCGCTGTGAGTTCAAGGCCAGCCTGACCCACAGACTGCGACCCTGTCTCAAAAATAAACAAAAAATGTAAAGAAGTAAAAGGGACTATCATGAGTCTAAAGCACATTCAGGTGTAACTCCTGGCTCCATATCTAGTCCACAGCAAACCCATCCATTTTGCTATCTCCTTGCAACCACCCCAGGCCCAGCCCTTACCAATTCCCTCCTTGGAGAGAGCAGGAGTCTCCCTCACTCTCCCTGCTGTATTCACATTCTCTTAAATTCATTTATCAAACAACCACAGGAATCTACAAAATCTGGAAATCAGAATTCACACCCCCGTTTAAGATCAGGTATTAAGAGCCAAACTCACACGTAGCCCACAAGGCCCCGCACGACCCCGCCAGTCAGAAACTCCTCAGCCTCCCTCGGCCTCACTTCCCTGTCCCTGCCCAGGGCCCGTCCACTCGCTGCTCTCTCTGTGCCTGGAATGCTCCTCTCACATATCCTGCAAGCCTAGCTTTCTCTTTTGGGTCTGGTCAAAATGTCACCTGTCTGAGTGGCCTCCCCTTATCACCTGATCGAAAGCATGGTAGTGAGGACGATAAGGCTCCTTCTCCGAATATAAAAGGTCCTCTCTAATCATGAGGCATCTGAAGCAACTCTCCCTCTGGCCACCACAGCTTACCACAGGGAACAACCATCCCCTCAACAGGCGTGGAGAGTAGATTTAGTAGTTCGGTTTCGGTCTCCACACGCATCCAAACTCCGACATCCGGATTTGGCCTTGGTCTGTGGAGAGGTGTCAATCGCTGACTTAGCAGTGTTCCTGGCACCCCTGACCTCATGATCTTGTAGGTGTGGTGGTTATATATTCATGCTGCTATCATTCTACCTATCTATAAAATATATATTTAGGATATTTAACAGTAAATTAAGATTTAAACATTCACTTTTTTTTTCTTGGAACCAGGGATTGAACTCAGGACCTTGCACTTGCAAGGCTGGCGCGGCACCACTGAGCTACATCCCAGGACCCTCACTGAACATACACTTTTGAGGAGAAGTAAAGCACTGGAGATGAAATATCCGCATTCTGTGTGTCCTAAGTTGAAATTCTACCAGCTTATGAAGTCTAAAATATATACTTGTTAGGAAAGTAAAACTTTAGTTAATGGTGTGAGTAGTTTTTTACTCAAAAACAATTAATAACTTTTTTTTTTCCTTGAGACAGGGTCTCACTGTCTAGTTGAGACTGACCTGGAACTCACTATGTAGTCCAGGCTGGTCTCGAACTCACAGCGATCCTCCTGCCCCAGCCTCCCGAGTGCTGGGATGACAGGCGTGTGCCACCATGCCCGGCTGCTACAACTAATAACTTTTAAACAATTAAATATATTAGTAACACAACTATCAAGAAAGTAATTTAACTAGACAGCCTTACAAGTTAGTGTTTGTAACAATTTAACTCCACTACGTAACAGAAACTAAATAACACTTTACACTAATTCTAACTTTTACAAAACCGTTCTGCCGTATTTATTACAAACAAAATAACCTTTAAGAACTACACTGATGTTGTAGTCTTTCAAGAAAAAGTCACATTTGGGAGTACTTCACATTTTGTGAGAATGAATTTAAAATAAAATGTCAACCCTTTCACTTCAATTTTACATGAATAAAGTACATAAAAATCCATAATTACAATAAACAATATCCATAAGTCACCTTTAAACCAAGCATAAAGACTATAAAAAGCCAGCCGGACGTGGCGGCACATGCCTATAATCCCAGGACTCAGGAGGCTCAGGCAGGAGGTTTTCCACAAGTCTGAGGCCAACCTGGGCTACGTGGTGAGTTCAAGGTCAATCTAACCACATGGTGAGACCTTATCTCAAAAACACACACACAAAAAATAAAATGAAATGAAAAGAGGTAGGGGTGTGACTCACAGTAGAGCACTTGCCTAGTATGTGCAAGACCCCCTGGTCCTATCACCAGCATGGGGTGGGGGCAGCAACCAAAACAATAATGACACAAAAGAAGTACAAAGAGTAAAATAAACAATGTCAAGGAAAGAAATGAAATACTGAGACATAGTTTGTATTCATCAATCACATTTCAAAACAGGCTTTACAGAAATGCTTAGGGCAATTTCTTACAGTTTTAAGTCTATGGAGGTTGAACATTCACCCACAGCTCATCAAAACAACTGCTGCATTTTGCCAGCAAGTCTTAATACTTGAAGAGGAGGCTTTTTTTTTTTTTTTTTTGGAAGGCTTCTAAGCTATGGATCTCAGGTAGAAGGCTCCTCTACAAAACCATCCCCTGGAAACTTCCCTGAACACTGCTGTGGTTGATGATGGGAGCAGGTATGCTTGCTAAAGAGAGAGAATCACACACAGATAACACAGTGACCACAGGACAACCTGAAAGCTACCAGGGTCACGAAGTGCTTCTCCTACACTAAAACTTACAAGTTTTAAAATCTAACTACCAAAATGTAACACAAGCTGGACATAGTGGTGCACACCTGTAATCCCACCATGCAGGAGGCTGAGGCAGGAGTATCCCCTATGAGTCTGAGGCCAGCCTAGGGCTACATAGTAAGTTCAAGGCAACCTGAACTGTGTAGCAAGGCCCTGTCTCTAAAAAAATAAATAAATAAAATAAAAAATATAAATAAAACGAAATGTAACAACTCCAATCATAGAAAAAATTTAATAGAATTTGAGCTTTATTTCTGTATCCCGGAATTTACATTTTATAACATTGACATTCCGACTGGGCATCAATGATCTGACCATCTCGGGGTTCAAGTCCATATTCAGGGAACTTCTAAAAAGGATGAGATGAGGTATACGTAAAAAAATTAGAAAGCTTTCCCCCACTTATGAGAACAATATTTTCACCTTCTAGATGGTCTATAATCTGCAGTGTCTGTTTATGAACCAACATGGATCTTTAAGGCAAAAATTCTGACCTCGTTTTTTATGCTTCTATGACATAGGAAGGGCACACAGGGACAGCACAGTAAACAGCAGTCACTGAGCCATGAAATGAAACAAATTAACAGCTGGTATATAAGGACAGTACAGCAAACGCCTCCTCATCTCCCTTACACACCTTCTGGACACACAACATTCTCGCTGCTAAACTCAAACTGACAGCTGATCAGTTAGATCGCCAAGACTAAATTCAGATCTATGAAATGCCAAAGCCTTAATTTCTATGAAGGTTATATTCTGGGACTCAGAGAATTCTTCAATTCCCAAAACCTACTGAAGTATATAATTTATTCCCCAAACTAACTTGAGTGCCAATAAACACAGCCACAGAGAGGTGTAAACGCTCATTCGTCAGTTCAGACCCAGGACTGACATCAGCATTACTTGGAGACCACGCCCCATTCCAGAGCAGTTAAGAGGCAGGGTCCAGACATCACATTCGTTTGTTTGTATGAACTCAAGTGGGTTTTCAAGACCTAGACAAGGTTGAGAGCCTCACATGGTTCTACGACTTGCTCCACTACCCACACTTCACGTGAATCGGGGTTAAAATCACTTTGCTGCTACTCATAACTGATCTGCACCCAGGCCTACCTAGCCCACTGCCCTCAGGACACTGTGTACGGCCTTCGAACCGTGCGTAGGGTCACGTCAGAAGCATGAACCAGAAGACAAGAAGGGAAGCAGACGTTACACTTAGTGGTGCACAGCAATTAATAAATCGCCAGTGGTTTAATAATGATGTAAGCGGACATCCAGTTCCTGATAGATCCCTACAGTCATGAATGTTACGGAAAGGATGAGGGATTCCCTCCCACCTTTCCCCGCCGCATATACCTTACCTGTTCTGGGAATAACTGGGACTTTGGTTTCTGGTGTTCTCAACCGGGTGTCTTTCATGGTCACTGGAAGGAGAACACACACAGACATGTATATACCCAGCACGTGTCGGAAGGAGCCCAGGGTCACCAGGCACACCCCTCCCCACTACAGCGTCTCCCTCTCACAGGCGTCCCCTGGTTTCCACTGGAAGGCACGCTAACATCCACGGGAGCGTCTGCCTCTCCTCCTCTGCATTTCTGAATGTGTGGTGGCTGAAAATTCTTTATATTTTATAACTGCTGCCTTTTGTTAGCTGTCAGGTACCAAGGAGTGGACAGAAGCGCTCTAGAACAAGGTCTGAGTCGAAACCCGGCCTCTGACACTTAGCTGTGTACTCTGGACTATTATCTTAAGTCTCCAGGGTCGGACCTTGAGTCACGTTCCATTCCAAGTGGGCATAAAACCAGCACCGACCCCTAAAGCCAGGCGGGAGGAGATGAGAAGATACCTGCCCCCAGGCCCAGGACAGCGAGAGGCGCGAGCACTCAGCAGTTCTGCCTTTTCTCAGACTGTACTCTCTTCTCTCCCAAGCCCCACAGCGTCCCTGTTCTCAGTCCCTCATGTCTACACCCGGCTTTCCCCTAAGGGACTCCCTGTCCTTCAGGACTCCATTTAACTCGCCTAAGAGCAGCCTTCCTAGGCCTCATTTCCTCCCAGTCCCAGTCCCACACTAGGTCAGGCCCGACAGCAACACTTAGCAGCCTGTGTCACTTTCCACAGCCCAATTAAATAAGTGTTATTAATCACTGAACAGGTCTCACTTGCTAGAAATTTCAGAAGGAAAAGCCTCATTTATTCAGTGCTCTATCTCTAGCAGCTACCAGTGTCTGGCACTTACTTGTTGGCTGAATGATTAGCAGTTTAAATACTTCTCAGATAAATGTACAAAGCCTAATTCTGCTTTCAAGCAGCACTAATTCTAATGCTTCCACGTGACAGGCATAAAATATTCGCCAACAGCGATTTCTTGATTTTATTCTCTCTTTACCCTACTTTCTGTCCAAATTACCTAATCATCCATGTTAAATGGGTATATATAGATACATTCCAGTTTGCTTTTAAAGTATTGGCCTTCAAACAATGTTTAGGTGCAATGTGACCACAGATGTAAACCCCACGAGGACAAGGGCCTTAGGGTTGGGTACTGTGCCTATCTTGGCATCTGGCACACAAGAGATCCCTAAGACCTCACCAAATTCTCTGACAGCCATTCCTGGGAAGAAGAGATAGGAAGCCGGGCCTCATGCACCATAGGCATCTAATTACAGCCAGCACCTGGAAACAAGCTGCAGAGCACGCAATGGTAATCAGAGTCGAGAGAGACAGAGAGAGAGAGAGAGAGAGAGAGAGAGAGAGACAGAGAGAGAGAGACAGAGAGAGACAGAGAGAAGACAGGGAAACTACAGTCCCATATGGAACACATCCCGCAACTACGCCAGTGGCCCTCAGCGGCCCCTGTGAGTGTGTGAGCAGTGCCACAAGCCAAAGTTTGCAGGCAGAAGGCGCTGCCTGGCCACCGAGCTCCACCAATCAGAGGGTAGAAGAGGTACAGGGGCTCACCTCTTCAGAACCCTAAATTAAATCAGTGAGTCACACCGACTTTCTCTTGCAATTAATCCCAGTTGCGCTCTTTTACCTAAAAATAAAGAATATGTAAAGCAAGAGTAAGATTAGGATATACCTGAGATCTTGTAGCCTGTGTAGCCAAGATCACTGTCCTAGATAAAGGCACTGCCATGGGAAATCAAGAGTGGTTTCTGTCCAATGTGCAATGTTAAAACTTCTCTATCACTGCACCAAAGAAAGGGGCAATAAGACCGACTCAGCATCAGTCTTCCAGGGTATGTCAAACAGATACTAAACAGGCTGCCTTTAGTTACTTATATTTCTAAATGTTCATTTCCTTATTTACATAACCCCTGCCTTGCGGGTGTACTGCAGTCTTTCGGGTCAGGAGAGTGAGAAGTGTCTCGTGAACTTCCTGCGTGGCAATGAGGGGCATGGGTGGAGACACCTGTTAAAACAGGACAGCAATATGGGTTCACCTTCTTATCTTCAAATGCCAAATAAAGACAGAAACACGGCCCCAGATCTAGCTTTCTCCTTCTTTGATATCTGACCCAAAAGCTGTGTTCTCACCTACATGCGACACTGTAACATTACTACTACAAGCAGTCTTTTTGAATAAAAATAAAAAATAGATTTAAGGAAGAAGATGAGGGCTCTGCGATTAATCAGAAGTAAGATCTCTGACTTGCTGTCACAGTTCATCGTCATCAATTTTACCCTCTAAGTGTTTACACCAGGTGCACAGTCAACATGCCTGGGGATAGAACAGGACTTAGAGCCTCGCTGCTGGCAGCACTGCCATTACAGAACCTGCATTATTTTATTCACAAATCTATGCCCAAGACGAGACACACTCTTGGCTCTGGAGGTCTAAGAGTTAGGTGGGTGCCTATAAAATTATCAGCTGAATATTCAGACTTTGGAAACCAGCTTGTGGCTTATGGCCTGGACACTAAAGCTAGGCCCCCTCTGGACTGTAACTCACATGAACAGGCAGCAGCATATCAAACCACCCAAGATGATTTGTACACAGTTGTCTATGATGTACAAATGCAACCGTGGGTATGAGTGAAGGCACATGTCTCTTCACTATAACTTGGTTTCTATAATCAAGGTTTTATCTAAAAAAGTCCAAACCAGGTGTGGTGGTACTCCCAGCCAACTGGGAAGCTGAGGCAGGGGGACTGCTTGAGCAGTTAGACCCCACTGCAAAACAACTTAAAAATCTGCCAGGTGTAGGGTTGCCCATCTATAATCCCAGAACTCAGGAGGCTGAGACAGGAGGATTGCCCTGAATTCAAGGCCAGCCTTAACTATATAGCATGACCCTACCTAAAAAAAAAAAAAAGTAGTTCAGACACAGGTCCAGGCACTGATGGACTACTTCATTACCAAGTACAGCCTAGGCAGAGCGGAGATGTTACAGTGCTACATTAATATTCAGCTCAGCTCAGAAATTCTCAGGTGACTTAGAATAATATCCTATCAAACTAATCAAGGTGTCTTTAGCACAAATGCATCTAAAATGAGTAAGCTGCTCGGTCCAATTCTCTCTTCCTATGGATGCACACAAGAAAGAGAAAAGGGACAGGAAATACTACCACGCTCAGAGTGACAGTGAAACACTGCCAGAACGTGTCGGCACGCGTGACTTCAGCACGGGTGTAGTCCCTCTCAAGGTCACAGAGGCTGGGGCAGGAGTGCTGTGCCTGGCCTGGCTCTCCATCCAAAAGTTCTGCCCTTAGGGGCCTTGAGGGGCAGTTCACTAGAGCCTATACCCTGTTCCAAAGGCCAAGTCCCCCAGTAATGTGCTCAGTTTTGGTAAAGCACGTCTCTTCCATAAACTATGCATACATTTTGACTTTTTATTAACAAGGACAAAATTATTTACCAAGAAAATACAAGTCAAACAGATACCACATATGGTTCAGAAAGTCACCAAACAGAGCTTCCCCTAAGAGAAAAATGATCAAACAGATTTCTGTAGGTTTCAAGTGTACAGGCCCAAAATAGAAATATGCTAGGGTAGAAAGCAGGTAGAAGAGTAGCTCTCAAGATGTGGCCCTTGCATCCCCACGACCCAGGAATTATTTACAAATGTAAATTCTTCTTTTCTGGGGATCTCTGAATCAAAAACTCTGGAAGTGGGGCCTTTGATTCTGATGCCCAACAAAGGTTAAGGACTTGGTCTAGGAAGAAGAGGGGTAAAGGCAGGAAACATTCATTCATCCATATCTGGTATGAGGTTCAAAAGGAAAAAAAAAAACTGCAGAAACCTTGGAAAAACGCTAATGTAATTCTGCCAAGTCCTAAAGGTTTTTTTGTTTTTGTTTTTTCAGTACCAGGGACTGAACTCAGGATCTTGTGCTTGCAAGACAGACACAGTGCCACTGAGCTAAATCCCTGGTGCCACCAGGTCCTAAAGGTGCTAGCACAGAGTGGCAAGGATTCAGTGGGTCACCTATCTGAATGTTTTTTAATGTTGCACCTAAGGTTGGGTTTCCAGTGAGGTAGACTCTTCCAATTCAAAAGTTTAATAAAATGACTTTACAACACAAACAGTGTGTAATTCCACCTTTAAAACACTTGGGCCTTTCCTACACACTTTTTTTTGTTTTTTTTAAAGAGTGTTTTTCATAGAGCTTAAATCCACTTTTTAAGAACAGTAATCTATCTAAAATGATTGAGGGACTTTAAGCTGATCCATGAAGTCTCTGAAACTATATCCAGGTTTCTGATCTGTACCCATTTTTTGGTGGTAACAGAAGACAAAGGGTAGAGAAAAAGATACTAGTGTGTAGTATCTCACAGATTTTAAAAGGGGAACTGAGGTACCTCAAAAAGTTAAAAATTGGGCCGGGGATTTAGCTCAGTGGTTCTGCTGCCTGCTTCACAAGCACAAAGACCTGAGTTCAATCTCCGGTGACAAAAACAAAAAATTTTTAAAAAGTTAAAAATCACGGGCCTGTGAGTTAATTTAGGAAATTAGCAGATCAGGCAGTTTATCACAGAGCAAAATTAAATGTTTAGATGCTGCAGTCAACCAAACGTGGGTCACATCCCAGCCCAACCACTGCAGAAGTCACCTCAGGCAACTTACTCAGGTCCCTAAGCCTCAATATCCTTTCCTATTCTGCTCCTCACGGCCGCAGATGAGTAAACAGGATTAGACGTGTAAAATATTGGCACAGTACTGGCACATAAGTACTCAGGAGAAGCTTTCTTAGGACAATATCATTACTCAGTAGAATGCATTGTGGGTACATAATGCTCAGCAGTGTATGCACTTAACAGCTGGTATGTGAAACACTGATAAAAAACCATTCTGTAACTTCAAGCGGATACATTTCCAAGTTTGTTACCATGCTCCCGGAGGGACGCCAAGCAGCACAAGTATTAGCAATCCACCCGAGACACCAAGGTGACATCTGCCCTTCCCGTCACTCCCTATGGTGCCTGCCATCAATCACACCAGCAACAACACCAGGCAAGACTGTCCCTTGTCATTTACACACACTGTGGCCCCTACCACTTTCCATTTACTTTATTAAGTGACCTGTGACTTGTAGGCCAGCAACCACCATGCCTTGTTGGGGATTAAAGTTGAGTTTTTAAAGCATTTTGCTCTTTAGATGTCAATCTGAACTCAGTCAACCTAAAAAAAGTATTGTTACCTGTTGCTATTTTCCAGTATATAACAAGTCAGCACTGCAGAAGAGGAGGGAGGAAAAACCTGGCAAGTTCCCGAGATCATACTCTCTCAATACAGAATATGAATTTTATTCTTCCCCATTAAAATAGACATTACTAATTTTTAGCAACTAAAAATAAGTCAGAGAAAGAATAATCTCATGTGGCTGATGTGTGAGCTCTTTCAGACCAATTTAATAGGGAAAAAATGAGTATTTCATGCAAACCAAACTATATTAGTTATCAACTGATCTGAGGTTTAAAAGCCTCAATGTTTGTAGTATGTTTATATATAAATACATATAAAAGCCAACAACTACAATTTGAATGTTATCAAGAAATCTTTTCTTTCAAGCCTACAGCTTCCTACATGACAAATGTAACTAATACAAATAAAACTAATTTTTCAAAGAGAGATCTATATAAAATGCAGAACTTACAGGGAATTATCTTTTTAAAAATATTATCATATAAAGGAAAGGATAAACAGGTCTTCACCCTATCAAGCATGCTAAAAGTCACCAATTCACCTGCTTATTATAAAACCATTAACATTTTCAATCAAAGGATTTAGTTATGAAGCCCAGAAGTACTTTAAATTATGGAAATTTAGACTTAAAAATACTCCTGTAATCCTACTACTCTGGGAGGCTGAGGCAGGAGAATTGCAAGTTCAAGCACATCCTGGACAACTTAATGAGAATCTATCTCAAAACAAAAAAAAAATTAAAAAGGCTTGGGATGTTATTCAATGCAAGGCCCTGGGTTCAATCCCCAGATGCAGGCTGGAATAGGCTCCTTAATTTACAATTCAACTCTTAACAGATGAAGAAACCCAGGTTGACAGAACTTAAGTGACTTGTTCCAGGTCAAAAGTTTTGACTCTATTATAAAGTAAAATGGTTCATGTATTGTTGTACTTGGCTCACTGGCATTCGAGAATATCCAATTAACTCCAGACAAGCCAATTTTCACTCATGATGGCACCAGAGCCCAGAAATGAACACACCTGTATCCTTTATAACTTTGAAAAAAGACAAAACTACAAGGTCAATTCAGCTCTAATTCAGAGCCCCAAATTCACCCATCACTACACACATCAGAGGTGAGAAGCTATTCTAAGAAATGCCTCTGGAATAAATTATAAATTGAAAGAAAATGGCCAAACTGAACCAAAGTGGTCCTCATCCTCTGTGCACCTGAGAAATCAAACTTCTCTAAAAATATGTCTATGGGGCCGGGGATTTAGCTCAGTGATTCCACCGCATGCCTCACAATCACAAGGACCCGAGTTCAATCCGTGGTACCCCCCCCAAAATATAAATGTATGTATGTCTGTAGTGCAAAGGTGAACTCAAACACCAAATATGTAGGTCTGCTATGCCAGGTACCACTGCAAGGAAGTTCTGACGAACACTACAGCTTGGGGTCCTCTGTTTTTGGCAATTTCATAATATTCTCTAAACATTATATAAACAGGTATATTAGATATGCACCAGTAAGGCTGCCCAGTTTTATCTCATGAATGAAACTAGGCATGCACGAAAAGCGTCATATTACATCACATCAGAAGGAGTATCAGGCATCTTTGTTCTTTACCCAGTAGGGAAGAGTACAACTGAGTCATAGGATTTTATACATTCCCTTACAGGAAAAGAAACAAGAAAGTCTCCTTCTTTCCAGCTAGGAATTTAGAAACATACCAAGTGCTTATGACACCAGAAAATGCATGGAGCAAAGAAAGCTTACATCATCTGCCCTTTCAGGCATGTGATGTCGAGTGTTTTGGATAAGATATTAACTTTGGTAAGAGTACTTTCCATCTACATCCTCTATAAATACCCCTTAAGTTTACATTAGGTGGCTAGAGGAAGATTCTGCAGCTCCCCAGGGCAATAGCAAAGATCAGTTCAGTGTTTCTGAGGAGCCTCATTTGCCTGATGCATGACTGTTAAAGGTACATTTTCCTACAACACCCTAAATCAGTTTTCACATTTGCATATTCCAGGTTGACTCAGGAATGCTCAAGTTGAGAATCACAGGTGGTTGCTCAGTAAATCAAAGGCTCCCAGAAGATTAGGTTTTGTAAAGCTTCCTGAAATTTACTGCTCCATTTTTCCAGCCTTCCTGAATTCAGATAATTCTAAGTTGATCCCAAAATTATAAATCAAAGTATCTCAGAAGAATATTATTCTATTTTAGTACTTTTACAGCATACTCTATATAAAGTGATAGTGCTATTGGACCAAAACAACTCAACAAAAAAAATGCAGCACAGATTTTAGCAGAACTATTTTTTTTTAATAAAGGCACCAATTTTATAAAAGTATCAAAGACTTTCCAGCCTAATTCAGACTAACACGTTTACAGGCACAACACTGGAAACAAAAACATGAGGTATGCAAGCCAAGTGCACCCCCCAAAAACTAAATACATGCACGCACGCACACACACCTTGACCAAATGATTAATTCTAATCACTTAATGACAGGCCAGCGTTGATCAAATAACAAATAAGAGCCATGTCTTTCCAATCAGTCAGACCTCAGTTCCAGTCCTGGCTCATCCTAAGGGGTGTCACCTTGGGCAAGTTACCCCAGTTTCTCCCGGCCTCAGTTTCTTTATGAGAAGACTGGACGTGTTAACAGTGGTTGTGTCTTCCTTTGTTCAGGACCAAAGAAATGATGTATGCAAAGCACCTCCACAGTGCCTGGCACACAGAGAGCACCCCATACTCGTCAGCTGCTCTACCAGGAGGACCGCGCCCCCCTCCCAAGTCTCTTCCTTTCCAAATCCAACCGCACGAAGCAAAAACTCTTTTAAAGGCAACACAAAGAAAGCACTTTAATTCTCGAAGCCTTCTCTGACTGCAGACTCTGTCCACCAGTTCCTCAAATGAATGAATGAGCACCTAGGAGCTGCTCTGCAAAGAGCTGTCTCTTAAGAATCAACTCTGCGGACTTGAAAGTAACTATCTTTCACCGTCGTCAATTAAATACTCACAAGTGCACCCGAGCTGGGCACCCCGATCGTGCAAATTTCAGCACAGACAGAGCCCAGAGGAATTCCCGATGCCTACAGGCAGCCTCCATTCATTCTCCACAATCACCCGGCCCCTCTCCGCCGGTCCCGGGACCGGCCCCACCCCCAGCCCTTCCCCCGGCCCGGGATCTCTCCCCTGCCCTCCGCACCCCTCCAGAACCTGTCACCCCACCCACGGAGGGGCTGTCGCCAGGGCTCCCCTCACCCCTACCCTAGGCACTGAGGCCCGGGGGTGCCGCCGTCCCCTCAGCCGACAAGGAGGGGCGAAGTGCCGGCCCGACCCACCTCCCCTCCCCAGGGACCCGCCAGTGCCTACTGGGCCCCGCAGGAGCCCGCGCGTAATAAGAGAGGGAAAAAACCCTCCGAAACCCCCTTCCCCAGGTCCCCAACCCAGCAAATCAGCCTCTTGTCCCAGCCCCTCGATAAGAGAGGGAAAAAACCCTCCGAAACCCCCTTCCCCAGGTCCCCAACCCAGCAAATCAGCCTCTTGTCCCAGCCCCTCGCGACCTCCCAGACTGCAGTCACGTTGCCGGGCCTGCCCCAAGAAGCCCCCGTGAAAAGGAGGGGAGACACCCCCATACTCACCCACCGTCTCCTCCCCGTCAGCTGTTTACCTCACAATCCCTCCAGCCTACAGGGCGCCGCCATCTTGGACGTACAGCCCCTCCCCCCGTCGTGAAGCGTCACGGCCTGCCGCGGCCTCCGCCACGAAAAAGAGTCCCTGGCCAGGGGCCACCTCCCCCTCGAACCCAAGGAGCGATAACCGAGATGCGCAACCTCGCCGGACGTAATCAGCCGTTCCTCTCAGGACTGATGATGCGGACTGGCCGAGAAAAAAAGACAAGGGAAGTTCTTTTTAGGTGGGGGGCGGGGACGGCGGAAAGATCCTCAAAGGGGTCCGCTGAGACATCTTGTGACTCCGAAGGAGGCGAAAAGAAGGACCGGCGCGGCGGGAGGAGCCAGGCGAGAGCCCGAGGGGCGGGGCGGTCACGGGTGGGGCGGGGGCGCGCGCCGGCCGAGGGATAAACAAGCAGCCCGGGCTGGGTGTGGCGGGAGCGCGCTCGCCTAGGTGCCTGGGCCCTTAGCGCACTGGGTGCTCATAGGTGTCCCGAAGAGCGCTTGGGGCCCGCGTGCGTGAAGGGCTTGCTTGAGACTCAGAAGAGTTGCAGTTGTCAGGAGAAGGGCGGAAAAAGGGCCGGGACAGTCCTTTCCTTTGCCGAATACTGCGAAAATCCATTCCTTGGAGAACCGCACTGGCTTCCAGTTACCCACCCTTCACACTTAGGGCCATCTAAGGGAAACAGCCTTACAGGAGAAGGCAGCTGTAACATCAGAACGCTAGGACTCGTTTCCTATGCTGCTGTTTCCTAGCTGTGGCAAGGCTTTAAGTCCTTCCAAGCCTCACTTTCTTCCTCTGAAATGGGCACAATATTGAAATGAGAAATCGAAGAGATACAGCATGGAAAAGATTTAGGAAGCTGGATGACCCCTAGCGTAAGACTCAGATGAGATGCCGGGAGAGGGGTCAGAGCGTGAGACGAGATCCAACTTTGGCATGAGGGTTTCTTGGAGGAGTGGGAATTAGACCAGGGTTTAAAAGAAAGGTGGGTGTCAAGAAACAGAAGCGGGAGAGGTGGCTGCGAACAGAAGGGCATTCTAGGCCGAGGGAATCCAGAGCAAGGCCGGCACAGCCAGAAAATGCTGAGTGAGTTCTAGGAGTGTGGTGAAGAGGTCAGGTATGTGAGCTGCCAGCGCGGTGGGTGCTGTCAGAATTCCCAGAAAGCCCAGGATTGCCCAGGGGAGGTCTGCTGCTAGCCACCATGGTGCCTTGGTGAGAATTAAGTTCATCCCCCTCAGACAGCTGAGCCTGTGTTCCCCGCCCACCTCTGATCCCCTGGGGCCCTTGAATCAGTGAGCCGGCTTCATAACCATAGGTCTGGGGCCATGGAGGCTAAGGAGAACGGTAGGGGAAGCTAAGAGCCTCAGCTCAGTCTAGAGTTTGAATATAATTTTCTGCCGTCACACCAACTCAGGAAACCAGTCTTTCTCACCCACAGCACAGGTAATAATGCCTACCTCATGGAGTGTTTTCAGTGAGACATTAAATAAATGGACCTGGCACAGATCCCTATTCAGTTAAGGTCACTTTTGTTAACTGAGTTTGTTGTCTGTGTGCACCCATCCCGGAAGTTGGTCCACCAGACGCTGACCCCTAGCTGCCCAAGCACTGACCACCTGGAGATGGTAAAGGAGAGGGAGAAGTGGAAGGAACTGGGTGCTCTCAGTTCCACCAGCCCTCACACTGTTTCATGGGAACCGCTTCCTGCCTTTGCGTGCACGCCATTCTGCTGACCCAAGTGTGTTCAGAGATTCTGAGACCTCCGGGGTTGGCAGAGTCATGGTTACTGAAGAGTGGAACCCCCTCCCTGCACTCCCTTCCTTGGCTCTGTGACCTCAGCCTGCTGGAATTTGCTGGCCATGGAAGGGAGCAGTGATGCACAGAGCTCATCCACCGCTGGCTCTCTGGAGGGCCATAACCGCATTCTTGCTGTTTATACGGTGTCTGGAAGAAGAATGGTAATTGTTAGTGCAATGTGGACCACCAGGGGCTTGTAAGAAGAGGCTGGAGGGACAGACTAGAGCTCTGCTCTTCTCAGTTTGGGCTGCCCAGACATGCTCTGCTTCTCTAGGGTTGATTTTTTTATCTTTTGCTAAGTACGTGTTAATCGGGCCACCTCCTTCTTGTACCATTTTGGAGCCTCCTGTGGCAGGGGCTTCTTGGTTAAGCCCTGCGTGCAAGCACTGCTGACTTGATACCTACAGAGGATGTCTGTGTTTATGCAGCCTCCTCCCACCCCCTTCTGAGGAGGCTGAGTGCCTTCCTCAGTTTCTCCTGTGCCAGCGAGCCTGACCATCACAGCTTTGCTTTATGCCACCGAGCCTGGATCACTGCTCCAGGCTAATCCAAGAGTCCCAACATCTGGCCAAAATGATTGGCTTATAATTGGACATGTGACTTGAGTTTAGCCAATCAGAGTACTGCTCCCGGTCTTTCTATATGCAAGTTCAGAGAGCTTTTTCACTCTTCTGGGTCAGGATGTGGAGGCTGTGGCCTCTTCCTTCCCCTGTACTGTAGCAAGCTATGTGAGTAATCTGGCCAAAAGAGGAAAGAGACATGGAGGCAGAGAGATGGAGTGACAGGGGGCATAGTTCAGTGGTAGAACCTGTGTGTAGTGCTCACGAGGCCCTGGGCTTCATCCCAAGCAGAAGGGAAGGAGGGGAGTGCCGGGTGCGATGGCGCCTGCCTGTAATCCTAGCACTCAGGAGGCTGAGGCAGGACAATCACTGCCAGTTTGAGGCCCCTGAGCTCTGTAGTGAGTTCAGGACCGCTCTGAACCACCTAGTAAGACCCTGTCTCAAAAACAGCAAACTAACAGAAAGGAAGGAGGGGTGAAGGAGGGAGAGAAAAGCAGGCTGCTATCCTCTGCATTTCTGGAGTCCCTGGAAGCAACTTTGCTTTGGTTTTCTGGGTTTCACAGCCACCATTTTTTATTAATGGTGATTTCAGTGAGTCTCTGTCCCTTGCAGACAGAAAGACTTCTGGGTTTACTGAAATCTGAGGCTTGGAAGGAGCCCCCGAGGTTCATCCATTTGAATCTTCTTTGGCTTCTGCTGCAAGGGCTGTGTGCGACAACCTCCTGCCCAGGCTTCCAGTCTTTAGCGGCCATGCAGCTTCAGAATGGAGACCCAGTTCCTCACGGTGACCCCCGAGGTCCTCCGCAGTCCTGGTGTCTCCAGTTGCTGTGTCTTCCGGTGTGGAACACGAGAGGTTTCTCCCCATTCGTCCGTCTCCTCTTGCTGTGCGCAGGCGGCTTCCTCACCCTGTGGTGGTCACTCCCCATGGGCCCTTCTCTGTCGGGACCCCTGCCTGCCACACCTGAGCTGGCCCTCTGGCTTTCTATTGCACTTGATCACAGTGAGCTAGAAGCAGAGGAGGGAGAAGGAGCCTTCCTGCCTGCCTGCTGTGGGACCTGGCTTGTCCTGTGTTGGAAAGGGCTCCCTTGCCCTTGCTCCTCACACCTGAAGGAGATGACTGTCACTAGCCCCCAGGTACAACCCCTTCTCCTGTGTCTAACCTGTGCCTTGATAATCCTCCCTGGGAGGAGCTGCTGGTTCCTGCCAGGATCCCAGCAGCTACAGCCCCTTCTAAGAGCATCTGCCCGCACAGCCTGGGCTGCCCACTGAGAGGGCCGCTCCAAACTCTCATGCGTACACAGGCACACACTTGACTGGACCTCCCTCAGCTGAGCCAGCCAGATTCTGAGCAATCCAAAGTTCACAGGGTTGCAGGCCTCTGGAGAGCATCGCTGGACTTGCTGTGCTCCAGGGCACCAGGTTAGTTAGAACACACCCTCTCGGGGGCCCGCTGGGATTGTGTGACAGGGTCAGACGCTTTGGTCCCTGGGGTCATACAGAGTTGGATGCAGCGGTGGTCCTCAGCACCCTGGACAGCAGAGGGTCAGCGGCTAAGTCCAGCTGGGAAAAAACACCTGCCAGACAAGGGGACAGACGGGGCCACAAGGGACACAGGCCCCTGAGGAGGAGGGACAGCTGCAGGATGACCGCCCAGTGCCCTTGAGTTCTGCCTATGCTCTCTGTGTCTATCTGGAAAATGCTTCTGTACCTTTTCAATACATTTCTCTTTCACTGCCACCAGCTTCTGTCCTTGACAACCATCTGAAGCTAGATCAGGCCCAGAGTGTTTTCCTTCACCTGGATCGTACCTGTTCTCCTTCCCAGACTCCACGCCAATGTGAGCCCACCAGGAAGTCCTCTCAGGATAGCACAGGCCCTCGTGCTCCGAGCTCTTCCTTCAACCTGCGGAGCTTGTGTGGACCGGCCTGCCTCCCACCCAACTCTCAAGTGCTCTGCTGCCCCCAGGCGGCGAGATGGGCATGAGGCCCCTGAAACATTTCCAGTCCAAGGTCAAAGCCCCAAGCAGCACAGGCATTGAAATATCACACGGGATCCCATCAGTACGTACAGTTCCAGGATTGTGTGTGAATTAAAAAGAAAAAAACTACAGCAAGCCGGGCTTGGTGGCGCATGCCTGTAATCCCAGCACGCGGGAGGCTGAGGCAGGAGGATCGCTGTGAGTTCGAGACCAGCCTGGGCTACATAGTGAGTTCCAGGTCAGTCTCAACTACATAGTGAGACCCTGTCTCAAAAAAAAAAACAAAAAAAGAAAAAGAAAAAACTACAATGAAATAAAGAAGCCAGGGACATTGGGACCAAATGTCAAGATGAAGGTTGAGAGGGACCAAGGGTTGGTGGAGCTCCAGGAGCTGCTCCTGCCCTGGGGCAGGGTAGCAGTGGCGGCTCAAGGCTCCCACTTGCTCCTGTGCTCGAATGGAGTGAAATCTCTTGAGGGGAGGAGGTGCATCCCTCTGCTGAGAAAGCAAGAGGCTCACTCTTTCAACTCAGATTTCAGATGTTGTGCTCATCGGCTGTGGCTGCCATAAAACTACACGAACTGGGTGGCTTAACAACAGATGTTTTAGTCTCACGATTCTAAAGGCTACAGATCCAAAATCAAGATATCCATGGAGCTGGTTCCTTCTGGGGCTGTTCCATGCCTCTTGCCTATCTTCTAGCGGCTGCCCCACGCTAGCTGGTGCTCTCTGCCTGGAGACACGTTCCTCTCTCTGCCTTCCTGTTCACACGAGGCTCTCTCTGAGCGCTTGTGTCTGTCCAAAGTCATCTCTCCTTTCTAGGAGGACGGAACTTGCACCCAGTTGGGGACCCCCCACCCCAGTGTGACCTCACCTAAATGAAGGGCACTGGCCACAGCCCTTCGTGGTGTGTGGTTCTGAGACCTGCGGGTTCCAACGTCAGCATACAAATGAATGTCAGGGGCACAAATCCAGCCTACGACAGGTGCTAACGGCCGGGTTGCCTCAGTGTCTGGATGGTTTGTGAGAAGGCCCTCTCTCGTTTCTGTGCACGCACGCACTCCCTGCATCTGGTACCCTCCGCACTGAGACGCCGGTGTTCTAATCTACGCAAGCCTCGGCCGTTGGGCTGTGTCCTTGCAAAATGTATGCGTGTATATTTCTAATTCACGTAAGTGGATTCGTGTCAGTGTTATAGATGGCGATGTTTCTTAGTTCTCTCCCCCGCCTGGCTGCGCCCATGTTGCTCTGTACATCTAGGCAGCAGCTTCTAACTGCTAATGATTATTCGCTGATGTGCGTCCACCCGAATCTACTGTCCATCCCCGCTCCACTGAGACAGACTCGAGGTGCCACAGGAAGCAACAGTGATAAAACATCACAGCATTTGCACCCTGTGGATCCGGTTGAGAATTTCCTTGGGATCTATGGATTAAACCTGTCAGGTCTTAGGGTACAGGGGCCTCATTTTATCAATGGGCCGGGGATTTAGCTCAGTGGCATAGCCGCCCGCCTTGCAAGCGCAAGGTCCTGAGTTCGATCCCCGTTACAACTAAATAAGTAAATAAATAAATGACAGAATAGGAGATCGGCAATAGGAAGTCGGGAGATAGATCTTTCTCAGAAGGGAAGGGGACCAGGCGATGGAGGCAGGAGCGGGGTGAGAACAGGAATTAAGATGTGTTTGGACGTGTGCCAACTCCCCGAGGCGTGTGAACACCGTGGACTGCGAACTCTATTTTTTTTTTTTAATGTTCTCTTGGGTGCGTGTCCCAGCCGCACTTCAATCAGAAGCTCTCGAAGAGCCCCACCGATGCTTGGCATGATGAGCCCTTGACTGTTTTCAGTACCACAGAACTAGAGTGCCCCCATTTTATTTTAATTTGCCTCTCTGACTTAATGGCCTGGTGCCTTCCTCGTGCCCTGGAAGTCTTGTTTCTCTAGAAGCCGTCGCTGCTTATCTTCCAACGGTTCTCGGTTCTCCCCGAAGAACTACTATCTTCTCCTTGGGGAGTTGCAGCAGTGCCTCATCTGTTCCGTGACTGTGTCCCCTGCCAGCTAGACAATACCTCGAGTCTCCTTCCGATCTGTTATCCACCTGTTAGCCCTTGACACTGTACGTCACTCGTTTTGTTGCTGTCACACCCACTGCTTTTTCTTATTGGCTCACGCTTTGGGATTCTGAGGTTTCATCCGAGAGCTGCTTTTTCAGCCTTTATAAAGAAGTATTCTTAGACGGTTTCTAGATTTATGATCTTGATACTTGACATGTACACTTGACATTTAATATTTGGGTCTCTGGGAAGGCCATGAAAAGGGGTCACTTGGGTCTCCTGCTAACTGATGAAGGTCTCAGCCGGTGCCACCACATTTGCAGTGAGGCTGCACGTCCTGTGGTCCTGTGAGCCACTTCCACCAGCGGACCCAGCAGGGCCACTAACACCTCCCCTGGGGGATGTGGGCCCAGGACTCTTCATTGGCCCCCAGAACTGTGGTGCAGCCTGGGATGTCTCCTACCAAAGCCTTTTTCCTTTCCCTCCTCCTGACGGGTTGTCATACCCGCCTCACACATGAATCGGCAGCCTAATCGGTGTTGGTGTGACTTCCACTGCGGCAATGAAATACCTGAGACTGAGTACTTTAGCTCTCAGTTATGGACCCTGAGCGTCCAAGTCGGGGCAGTGATAGTGTACGACGTCAGTAGAACTGAAGAAGCTTTCAGCAGTATGTTTCTACCTCCTGCCTTCTGTACTTTGCGCTCCTGTCACACATTTTTTTCTCCATGGACTGTAAACTCCACAAAGCATTGCTGTGATTCTTGCCTCAAAGAATCAATTGTTTGCCAGTATGTTTTCAAGTTTTAATTGACACACGGCGGTGGTATGTATCGATGGGGTAGCGTGACATTTCAGTCCACGTGAGCAGTGGGTAGTGACCATAATGGGGCTCCTGGCCTCGCCCTAACCCCAGACGTTTACCGTTTCTGTGTTAGAGAGACTGGGAGCCCTCCACGAGCTATTTCCATATATTCAATTAAATGTTGTCAACTATAGTTGCCCTCCTGTGCTAGGAACATTTGAAGTTATTCCTCCTAGCCGGCTGCACCCCTCTGGGCATTTTCTTAACGAGCTTATGGCCTGTTTGTTAGTTACTACCTCTGCATGCTTGCTTGTCTCCTTTTTTCATTAAAATTTTATTAGCGCCTATTAATTTTACAACATATTGGGTTTCCATGTGTACAATATATTTTGATCATGTTTATCCTTTCCTTTATACTCTTTTCCTCTTGTCTAATAATAGTCTCCTTTCTACTTTCATGTCATCTTTTTTAGATTCTTTATATTACGGATGTCTTTCTGAGTTTGGCTTATTTTGTCTAACATGGTGATCTCCATGCAGTTTCCTGCAAAGAACAAAATTTTTATTCTTCTTTATGACTACATAATACTCCATTTGGTGTATACATTTATAATAGTCATATATATACACATACATACAAATGTATACGCACATAGATAGGTATATGGAGAGTGAGAGAGAGAGAGATCATAAAAATGTATATACAGTTCAGGAAGAGAGAAAATTGTATAAATATTTTAATACTAAATTCATTGAGACAGCACGAGATTAATACAAGGCACCTTTGACCTCTACAATGGCAAGAGCTGCTCAGAGTGGGGGCCAGTAGCTTCCAGAAATTTATTAGTATGGCGAGCTGCTGCTTGGGTAACCTTGGTCACTGAGCTTGCTGGACATACATTTTCAACTTCTTCTCTAGGGACCAGCCGTGTAGTGGGATTTCTGTGATGTAGGGTACCCTCTAGGGTCCCCCAGATGAGGGAAACACCATCTCTTGTGAAAACATCATACTATTTTTTTCCAGAAGTGTATAAATATGTTTTGCCCCCCCATACATATATGCATTTTATTTAGCCACTCATCTGCTGATGGGCAGCGAGGCTGGTTCCCACCAACAATAACCATTGTGAATTGTGTGCTCATTAAGCACGGAAATGCAGGTGCCCCCACAATGTGCTGATTACCCCCACATCAGTTTCTCTGGGCATATGCCGAGCCATGGGACAGCTGGATAAGGTGGCAGCTCTATGTTTCCTTTCTCTGAGCAACCTCCATGCCGATTTCCATAGGGGTTGTACGAATTTACTTTCCCACCAGCGGTGGAGAAGGGTTCCTTTCCCCTCCACCATCGATAGCATTTACTGTTTATTACACTCTTGATGGCAGCCAGTCCGACCGGGGTGAGGGGAATCTTAATGTAGTTTTGATTTGCATATTTCTCTCATAGGTAAAGATGGTGAATTTTTGTGTGTGTATTCGTTAGCCATTTGTACCTCTTTCTTTGAGACGTGTTTGTTCATTACATTTGCCAATTTATTGATTGGACTACCTGATTTTTTTGTGTTTTGCTAGTTCCTTATCTATTTTCTAGATACTAATCCTCTGTCGGAAGAGTGACTGGTGAAGATTTTCTCCTGTTCTGTAGGCTGTCTCTCCTTCACTCTGACGGTTGTTTTCTTTGCTGTGCAGAAACTTTCAAATTTGCTATCACCCCATTTGCTGTTATTTCTTGTGCTCTTGGAGTCCTAGTGAGGAAGCCTTTGCCCGTGTCTATGGCTTCAAATGTTTCCCTTATGTGGCTTCAGCTGTATGTTTGAAACATGTTTTCACTGAATATAGACCTCTAGAGTGACAGTGTCCCGCTTAGCTTTTCAAGATTTCATTCAGTTTTTTTTTTCCTGATTTGCCCAGTTTCTGAGGAGAAATCTGTGCTATAACCTTTGTTTCTGTCTTTTTTTTTTCCTGGAGGTCATTTACGAAGATGTTTATTGACCGACTAATTGATTTAAAGTGATCCTGAGAGTTCTTCAGAGAAACTGGTAAGTGTGTGCGTGTGCGTGTGTGTGCGTGTGTGTGTGTGTGTGTGTGTTTTAAGGAATTAGCTCACATGACTGTGGCGTTCAAAATCTGCAGGATGCCTCGGTAGTCAGGAGACCAGGGAAGTACCAGTATTGCAAGTCTAGTGCAAAGGCCAAGGGTGGCAGAATTTCCACTCGCCTGCTGGAAGTCGGTCTTTTGTTCTGTTCAGACCTTGAACTGATTGGGTGTGGGCCCACCGCTTTATGAAGGGAAATCGGCTTTACTAAAAATTCCACCTGTTTAAATGCTAATGTCACCCAAAATGCACTTCTGCAAACATCTAGAATATTGTTTGACTACAGATCTGGCCCTTCTGGCCCAGGGGAGTCAGCATGTAAAATTAACCAGTGTACAGGGAATCTAGGGACACAGATTTCTTATCTTCTTACTCTACGGTTTTTGTTTGTTTGTCTTAACCATTCTAAGGTAAGACTTTCTTCTTTCAAAGAAAATTAAGTATTGTGGCTTTTGCCTGTCATTTTTTTCTTTTGCAAATAAAAACACTGGTGTGGATCAGAGAATTATCACTTCCATGAGTCATTCTCCAAACCTTGCTTAACAGGTGACCAGAAAGTAAGAAAATCATGTGTGTGGCTAGGATCTCGGCCCTGGCAAAGACAGACAGGCTGCTCCATCGACCCTGCCACCCCCAGGGGAGATCCCAGAAGCCTGGAAGCTCTTCCATCCCTCCCTTTCAAGTGCAGCAGGGTGACCTCTCCAACCACTCTTCGGTGAGTTCATTCAAAACAACACACAGGTTTCAGCTCTTTGCTTTTTGGCTTTTCTATGCCAACTTTCACCTTGGTCTCTTGCTGTGTAACAAACAATTCTGAAGCTTTGCGGTTTAGAAAACCAAACGTTTCCGTGAGTCCAGAACACAGGTCATGGTGCAGCCGAGTCCTCTGGCTCAGGCTGCTGGCTGGGAATACAGCCATCCCCAGGCTTGACGAGGGGAGGATCCACACCAAGCATACGCTTGATTGCTGGCACGATTCAGTTCCTTTGGCCATTGACTGAGGGCTCCATTGCTTGCTGACTATTGTTTGAGACACATCAGTTCCTTGTCATGTGGAGCCTGCCACGGGGCAGCTGGCAGTACAGCAACTGGCTTCCCCTACAGAGAGAAGAGAGTGTCAGCAAGTCGAAAGAGAGTCTATCTAGCTTTGGAAGTACGGCGTCTGTGTTTGTCTGCTTTCTGTTGCTATAAGAAACTACTTGGGGCTGTATAATGTGTTGAGAATGAAATTTATTTAGATGACAGTTCTGGAAGCTGGGAGGTGAGGCTGCCCTGGGCACCATCAGCCCTAGTTGGTTGATAGTGCAACACGAATGAGTAGATGAGGGAGAGATCACAGGATGAGACGGCATTCAGAGTGAGAGGAGTGGCCAGGGTCGCTCTTTTTATAATGATCGGCTGCTGAGAATGAACTCAGAGCCCTACAAGAACCCCTTAGCCTCTTCGTAGAGTGGAACCCACTGGACTCCACCTCTGCACGGCGTCTTGGAGGACCACGCCTCTAACACACGAAGAGATACCCCCAGATCAGTCCCGGCCACAGCAACAACCCATCACTTTGTCCATCGTATTCCCTGGGGGGAAGTCACCAGGTCCCACCGGCACGCAGTGGAGGACACTGGCCTCATTGCCGGTGCTGTCCTGTCAAGACTTGGCAGGAGCTCTGGCTGCTAGGGTCACTCCCTCCACTCGTGCGGGTTAGCAGGCCCTCCTCATTCACACACCTGCCATCGTGATCACAGCAGCAATGTAACCGCTGGCCGGGGCTGAGGAGCTTCTCTGACCCCCGCACTTCTGCTCTCCCCACCGAGTTTTGCCCTGGCGGAGAGGCGTTCCTCCCGCAGAGGTGCGTCAGGGTCCCTTCTGCCACCTCCGCTAAGCAGGGCGGAGCTTGGGAGTGGACCAGAGAGAGCCCTCAGACTGAAGGACTTCCAAGACCAGAGTAAGGGACAGAAGAGCCCAGAGGCAATTAGAGCAGTGTGGCCTGGAGCGCTGTAACAAGCTTGCTGGCGGCAACGTTTCGGTTCAAATGTGAGGAATAAGTAGCAGTTGGTCAGGAGCAACTGGAGAGTCGAAGCGCCAGGGAGACGAGGCAACAGTGAGGAGACAGAAAGAAGCAGCAGGAGCGGCTGGGGAGCCAGGGGCGCAAGAGTAAAGCGGTAAGGTCCGTGCGCGGGACCCGCGTCGGGGAGGCACTGCTCCGGCCTTGCGCGCGGACCTCCCCCGCCGGAGCCGCCCCCAGGCAGGCGCACTGCTATAGCCGAGGAAACTGAGTCACGGAGATGTGTCCCCTTCACGAGCTAATGCACTTCTGTAGCGAGCAGGCGCGAGCAGAGGGTGCGGGGCCGCGGCAGGTGACAGCTGCTGACTCCATCCTGCGCTCAGGGCCGGACCACACGGCCACACGGAGGTCCCCGCGCTGGCACCTCCGGCCGGGCGGGGAGCGGATGGAGTGGGCAGAGAGCCCCTCTAGGAAAGGGATGAGGCGCTCTAGGGGCAAGACACAGTCACCTGAGCGGAGGAGCGAGGAGGAAAGCTAGGTGCTGGGTGCGAGTCCGTAAAAGCAGGAAGAAGCCGGGCTGGACTTGGCTCGGGGTCATCTTGGGGCTGGCTAAAGTGAGAGCGGGAAAGACGATCCCCTGGGCAGCCGGACGTGGCGTTGTGTTCCCATGTGAGGGCAGAGACTGGGGCTTGGGAGGTGAGTGAGCCGGGGGGGCTGGCCAAGGTGAGGGAGCGAGGGTGTACAGCGAGGAGCCAGCCGGGCCTCCGGGGATGCTGGAGAGCGCTGGGCAGAGACGCAGCCTGGCTGTCCCCCACCCCTGGCAGGTGGCCTTGGAGGGGAATCCAGGCCTCTCTTTCTCCATCTGCAGAATGGAGCCGACCCTAACATCCAACTCAAAGAGCTTCTTGGGACGGTCCAAGGGAAGCGTACAGACACCTGCCACAGCCCGACGCTCCGTGGACGGTGTCATCGTGGCCTGCTGCCGCGTGTCCCGGCACTGCTGTAGCCCATGAAGACAAACCGGGCAGCTTAAAACATCAGAAATTTATTTCCTCAAAGTTCTTAAGTCCAGAAGTCCAAAAACCAAGGTATCAGTCAGCAAGGTTGGTCCTTTCTGGGGAACAGAAGGAGAATCGGTTCCATGTCTCTCTCCTGGGTGACCACAGGGACATCCAGTGTCGCTCAGCTGGCAGCTACATCTCCCGGTCTCTGTCCCGAGCACCACATGCCTTCCACTTGTGTGTCTCTGTGTGTCCTCTCCTCTCTGCAGTGACACCACTCGTCGGGTTTAGGGCCCACTTTCATGGAGCAGGACCTCTGTCTGCCTGAGTTATACCTGCAAAGATCCTGTTTCCAAGTCACCTTGCAGCCTGGGGTACACGGACATGGTCATGGAGGGACCTTGCTCACCCCCTCCACGTGCTGTCCCAAGCGTGGGGCCCTGAAGAAGAGACAGGACAGGGACCGAGCCTACTGTGATCAATCAAAGTCAGGCCCAGAACTGACGTACAAACTTCTTGGTGGTAAAAAAAGAGACCAAAATCAGAGCAATGCAGCAACCAAGGTATGGATGAGGGTGGGTGAGACTCGAACTTTGTTTCTGGTTGAAACAAGAATTTGATCTATTGTGCGAGGGCAGGTAGACTTTACAGCAGGAGAACCCAGCTTGAGCAATGGCCTGGACCCACAAGGCATGACTGCTTTAGGTTATACAAGAAGCGGTTAGGGCCGGGCGTTGTGGCGCACGTCTGTAATCTCTGCACTTGGGTGGCTGAGGCAGGAGGATCGCTGTGAGTTCGAGACCATCCTGGGCTACACAGTGAGTTCCAGGTCAGTCTCAACTACATAGTGAGATCCTTTCTCAAAAAACCGAAAATAAAAATGGCTAAAGAGTCAGAAGCAATAGAAGACTGACAACCGAGATGATCTCCACAACAACAACCAAAAGCAAACAATCCTTTTGTGAAGTGAAAAGAAAGTAAGCAAAGCAAAATCTTGAATGAATAGAGAATTTATTCCATGGCAGTCATTATTGTATCGAGGCACACTGTTTGAAAAGGAGGAGCAAAAGGGCTGTGTATAAGATTTTGGTACTGTGCACCACCTGTTATTCTCCCAAAGCTGAAGTATTCATGTACTTAAACGATATTCTATTTGATTGTGTTTTTTTTTAAATATATATGAATTATATTTTTGAAAAGGAAAGTAAGCAATGCTAAGTCAGAAGAAAGATGATTAGCTGACAAGAAACATTGGCCACTTATATCCCAAGCAACCTTCCTATGGTAAAAATGCAGAGGAACCCTGAAATGTTACTTTCAAATAAAATCTAATCAAGCTAGGCGAGGCGGTGCACACCTTTCATTCCAGCACTCAAGAGGCTGAAGCAGGAGGATCGCTGTGGAGTTCCAGGTGGGCTATGTATGGCTTCAGGGCCAGCCTGAACTACATAGTGAGACTCTGTCTCAGAAAACCAGAAAAGAAGAGGAAAAAAGGGAATCTTCTGATAGAAGGAAACAGCCAAAAGATAACAGAAAGTTCATAGTGAAAAAAATGTACACGAGCCTTAGCCATGTTACCTTACTCGCTGAAAGGGAGATGCAGGTGAAAACTGCCCTGGGGTGCTGCTGTCCCATCAGACTGGAGAAAATCTCCTAATCTGACAAGCTGCCCATCTGGCAGGCTGTGCTAAGAAGGCACTATGCTCTGCGGTTACAGGACAGAAGGGACACGCACTCATGGGGGACGTCAGCCACGTCAAAGAACATTACATATACGTTGTCCCTTTGGTCCACCCAAGGCTTCTTGACACCTACCCTGAAGCCGTGTGTGCGCGTGCACGCGCGCGCGCACACACACACACACACACACACACACACACACACACACGGCTATTTCTCACGAGATCACAGCTTACGACACCCAGTGCTGATTAGCTGGGAGCAGAGTCCACTCACCCTGGAGATCCCTGATGCCTGCTGGGGAGAGGGGCCACCTGGGGCCCAAGCCTCCAGCACAGAACACTGGGGGGATGAGCCACAGCCAAATAAAGCATCAGGGACTGAGAGGGTGGGAAGCGGGGGAAGAGAGAGAGCAGGAGAGAGAGGGAGAAAGGGGG